CATTGTGTAAATGTACCATATTTTCCTTATCCATTCTTTGATCAAGGGGCATTTAGGTTGTTTCCAGGTTCTGGCTATGACAAACAAAGCTGCTATGAACATAGTTGAGCACATGTCCTTGAGGCACGATTGAGCATCCTTTGGATATATACCCAAAAGTGGTATTACTGGGTCCTGAGGAAGATTGTTTTCCTAATTTTCTGAGAAATCGCCATACTGACATCCAAAGGGGCTGTACCAGCTTGCACTCCCATCAGCAGTGCAGGAGCTGACATCTCATTCTCTTATCATCTTTCCACACCATTCTTTGCCCTTCCATATAAGTCCCTGTGTAGGGCAGAGGTAACTTCACTAATCTAACTGTGTTGCTGTATAGGCCATGTCATAGCCTGAGTGTATGGTAGGTAGGAAGACGCTTGTAATCTGGTCTGTGGCCAACTCCTCTAGCCCACCGAATCTTGTTGGCCTTTTTAAGTTTACTTTGTTTTGATTATCTTGTTCCTGAGTAAGTATGGGGACAGATGTTTCAAGAATGTCTCAGAGCCTCATAAAGAGACCTCTGGATTCTCACAACCTCCAAGGCATAAGGAAGACCTCCAAGTAGAGCCAGATGAGGATATCCCCCTGAAAGCAGGAGGGGTAGTATGCTCAGGACTTTCCTGGGTAAGCTTAGAAGCAGTACTCCTGGGATAAGTCATAAATGATTCCTAAGAAATTTTCCATCAACCCAGTATCCCCAAATTGTACAGATAGTAAAAGCTCTCCCAAGCATGCAAACAGCTGTGCTGGCTGAATGACCTGGGGCTCCCATCAAATACAGCTGCGCCAACTGACCTCAGGCTACCACTGTGTGTATATATTACTGCACTGTGTGTGTGCGGTTGTGACAGTTATCTCTTCTTTCTTCATTTCCCCCTGATCCACAGTAAAGCCCGGACCATCCACACACACTTTGGGTCAGGAAGGGTGATGGGCAGTTACCTAGGTACCAGCAGGTGCATCCCCTTAGGACACATCCCTGCACTGCCATGCACGTGCTATTCATCCACAAGCTTCTTATAGGGTGCTCCATAGATCAAGAGGAGCTTTGTAGCCCCGTGGAAAGTAACCAGCAATTGACCTTCAACCTTTGTCGCTCTGGTGTCCTGCTGTCACCGTGGGTGATCCTTATCATCCTGTAGGCTTTCTGCAGGTGTTCACAAGGTTATAAATTCTTGGTATGCCTTTTACTGCAGGCTTAGGTGCTCAAGACTTCCAAGCTCAGGTTATCTCTGAGTCTCAGGGTCCTGAAATCCCAGAAACAGTTTTCTTTTCCTGGAAATGCTTGGGCTGCCCAGAAAGAAACTAAAACTGGCCTGGTTGGTTTCATTTTTTATGTTTACAGGCCCTCGCGGGTGTGAGTCTCAGCAATCAGCCAGCTCCCTCCTGACAGAGGGACACAAGCCAGAGGCCATTCCAGGTCCTTCTTCCAGCCTCACTCTAGGGACCTCATTTACTGCCCTCTGGGAAGGACATATCCGTGGGCTGTTTGTTGTGGAGCCCTGTGCTGCAGTGGCCACTTCAAGAGGCTCCGTATTGTCCACTGTTGCAGAAAAAATTGTGGCTCTGGTTGGCGCCAGAAGTTCGGATTGGTGTTTGTTTGTTTGTTTAACTTTTTATTTATTCTTTGTGGCTTACACATCATGCAACTCAGTCCCACTCATATCCCTGTCCCTTGGTATCTGCCCTCTGCCCTTGTGACCTCCCCCACAAAATAAAATAAGATTTAAGAGAAAAGAAAATAGAAGGGAAAAAAGAAAAAGAAAAATCTCAACATGGAAGCTGTAGTGTGTGTGCCACAGTGAGTCAGGCAGTAAACCCTTTTGTCCATACATCTCTACTTGCAAGTGTTCCTGGCAATGAGTCGTTGGTTTGGCTCAGGGCCTCTGGTTTCTGCTACACTATTCATACTGGGCCCTCACTGGGACTCCTCTTGGATATCCTGTTGTTACCCTGTGTCATGGAGATTCTGTAGCTTTGGATCTGCAGGACCAGCCCCTTCGTAGATGAGGTGGATGTTGGGGTGGGCCAACTCATAGCCTTGGTTCTAGGCCTGGGTGGTTCTAGGCAGGGTTGGTTGGTCAGCCCACCAGCTCTCCCCCATCCTCACCTCCAGGGTGAGCTCTCCAGCACTGCCCTAGCTAGTTCTCCCTAAGCAGCATGAGCAAGGGGCTAGGCAGGTTCTCCTTTCATGCCTTCCAGGCTGACTCACCCACACCTGCACCACCAGGGACAGGTCTACTGTGTTGCCCAGGTGAGCTGTAGAGGCCATTCTGCTCAATGCTGCAGCTGTTGAGGGGCAGGGACAGCTCTCTTACTGTCATGACCTCAAGGCTAGCTCTGCCACCTGCCACAGGCAGTGGGGATTGGAGGGCACATCTCTCCCTTACCCACACCACCTTATAGCGATGTGGGAGCCAGATCTCCCATGCTCACATTCTCAGGCTGGTGCCCATGTCCCAAGCCCCCATCAACAGGGTGACTGGTGTTGGAGGCAGGCCGCTACTTAGTTCCTGGCTGCTTAGCGCCGAAATAATCACACAGAAACCGTATTAATTATATCACTGTTTGGCCCATTAGTTCTAGCTTCTTATTGGCTAACTCTTACATATTAATTTAACCCATTTTTATTAATCTGTGTATCGCCACGTGATGGCTTACTGGGTAAAGTTCTGTCTGGCTCTGGCGGGGCTACATGGCCTCTTCCTGACTCCACCTCCTTTTTCCCAGCATTCAGCTTAGTTTTCCCCACCTACCTCTATTTCCTGTGCAGGGCCAAGATGGGATCTTTATTCATTAATGATAATCACAGCATACAGAGGGAAATCCAACATCACCTTCCCTTTTCTGTTTAAATTAAAAGGAAGGCTTTAACTTTAACATAGTAAAATTACATATAACAAAACAGGTATCAAGCAAGAATTACAGTTACAATATTTATATCTATTTTATCTTTTATCATAACTAAGGAAACTATAACTATAAATTCTTTAACTCCATCAAAGAATCTAGAAGGATATAACATTACCTAAGTAAACTGGAAGTGCATTGTAAGCAACTTCCAAAACTCTAGACTTGACAGAGACATTTCACTGCCTGGACAGTCACTCAAAGTTCTTCTGTACCATTGGGGCATCTATCTTTAACCTACAGGCCCATAGTATCCGGCAGACTTTTCCATAAAGCAGGAAATTTCAAAGACAGTTCCACCCATATTGGCAGTTTGTCAGTCACTTTTTTCTGTGTTCTGCAGAATGTCTGGCAGCCTCTTTCATGAAGCAGGAACCCCAAAAGATGCCTCACCTTCTGTAGGCAAGTACAATTCTCTATGGGTCCAGCATATCCAGTTCACCAAGCAGTCCTGTTGAAGAGTCCCAGAATAAGAAAATAAAAAATGTAGTTTCCAGAAATAAGAATGTAGAAATAAAGAAATATAAAGTTATAAGTCTAGGAGAATGAGAACAGACTGTTAGCCGCTTTCTCAGCAGATCAGGGATCAGGCATTCACAGTGAGCTATTTTCTCAGATGCTTGGGAAGCCTCCATCAGCTTAGGTCATTTCATTTTATAACTGGCTGCTTTATTTACAAGGCCAGAGCTTCCCCCTACAAATTGAGGGTAGTGTCCTGGCCATCCTTGATAAACGACAGATGTGAACTGAGTTAACCTTTAGGAGACAGAGATGCTGACGTCTGGGTTAGGCACTGTCTCTGTTGTGGGAAACTGGCACCATTAAAGGGGAGGTGTGGGGCTTCAGTGTACACTGCCTGGAGGAACCAGGAGAAACAGTGGACAAGGTAAAAACACAGATTTGACTAATGAGCTCTGATAATGGAGGTTGTAAAGTATGGCAGTCTGTACCTGAGTTTTACCTTGAGATAGTGTTAAAACCTTTCTGCTGTCTTCTAAGTTCTCAGCCTAAGAACCAATTAATTCTAATTTATTAACCTTCTGGTGTTACTAGCAGTCCCTTTTCTGACTATTGCTAAAGACATCTGTTTTCTTGCAATTAGTGACTTTCACTGTAATCTGCTCTAAAACTTATTTCATGACAGCTGCCTAGTTACCCATTGACGTTAAAACTCACTCCCCTGCTTAGGGTCTATGTTGACTGACTCATGGGTCAGGAAAATTTCCTTTGTTCAGAGATAATGCTTGGTGCCCCTACTATAAAAAGTGGGTTCAGAAACCAGCCTTTTGCCACAGTCTAACAGACACCATCTCTGGCTGTGGTCTCAGATAGCTGATAAGCTTCTGTGCCCCGTGGTGTTTTTTTTATATATATATTTTTATTTTTTATTTTTAAGTTTGCTTCTGGTTTTCCTAGGATCTGGTTTCTGGAATAAAGTTGTTTCTGGTTTATTAGACTTGGTGGTGTTCTCATCTTTGTACGACCCCTCCTGGACCCAACAATGTAGCTGGGCGGTGGTGGTGCACACCTTTAATCCCAGCACTCAGGAGGCAGAGGCGGGCAGATCTCTGTGAGTTCGAGGCCAGCCGGGGCTACAAGAGCTAGTTCCAGGACAGGCTCCAAAAAGCTACAGAGAAACCCTGTCTCGAAAGGCTTAAAAGGACCTGTGTGCAGGGTCGCCATCTTGCCCAAGTGCCTGACCCCGCATATCCTGGCTGTTTCTGCAGAATAAATGCTCTTTGCTTTTAGAGACTATTTGAGTCTGGGGTCTTCTTCAGCGTTTCTGGACCCTACACATACCAAATCATACCTGGCTGCTAGGTTCTCCTAGCATCCCACAGTCCCTACCTGTTACTTGATATAGCTGGTATACCCCACCCCCTACCCGAAACTTCTCTAGCCCAGGGGCTGAGCTGCCCTTCCCCCTAGAAGGGCTTTCAATTTTGGTTACCTAACCCTTTGGTCTACCCTTTAACCTCCTGGCCCCTTGTTCTCCTGGCTCCCCCCTTCCCCACCTCCATACCTGCCCAGCTCAGGACTTTACTCTGGACTTTCCCAATGTCCCTGCCTCTGGCTACACTCTCCTTTTATCTCCATAAACCTTCCCAAAAGCAGTCACGTTCTCCTTCTTCTTTCTTTTTTCATTCATGGAGCTGTTTAAGTATCTGAATAATCTAAATTATTGATAGAAATTTCATACAAAGAAAAATCTCCCTTTGCCAGGGTAGTGGCACACACCTTTAAACCCAGCACTCAGGGGGCAGAGGCTGGCCTGTGAGTGTAAGGCCAGTCTGTACTACATAGTGAGTTCCAGGACAGCCAGGACTATATAGTGAGACTCTGTCTCAGAAACAAGCAGCTGGGCCATGGTGGCACTTGCCTTTAATCCTAGTAATTGGGAGGCAGAGACAGACTGATCTCTGTGAGTTCAAGGCCAGCCTGATCTACAGAGCTGGTTCCAGAACAGGCTCCAAAGCTACCTACACAAAGAAACCACTGGATCTCGGCTTTCCTATGACGTTCTTGGTTTTAGCTAATGTCTCAGTTTCCCTCGCTTTGTCACATGCGTGGGTCCTGAAGCAGCCCCGTGTTTGTTTGCTCAACAGAAATAGGCTCGAGCTATGTTATGCTTCCCTTGACACAGCCTCAGCTTTTTTCAGTTCTTTGGGTCCATAACTGTCTTAGTTAGGGTTTCTGTTGCTGTAAAGAGACACCTAGACTATGGCAATGGAAACATTTAATTGTGGTGGTTCACTTATATATAGTTCAGAGGTCGAGTCCATTACCATCATGGATGGGAAGCAAGGCAGCATGCAGGCAGACATGGTGCTAGAGAAGGAGCCGAGCGTTCTTATATCTTGATTCACAGGCAAAAGGAAGTGGTCTGAGACACTGGGTGTGGCTTGAGCATATATGAGATCTCAAAGCCTGCTTCTACAAAGGCACACTTACTGCAACGAGACCATACCTACTTCAACAATGCCCCTGAGATATGTTCAACTAGATGTTTACTTTCATATGAATGTATTTTTCAGTCTTAAAATATAATCTTTTCTCATGCCAAAAAGCACAATTAGTTTTGTTTCTTATTCTTCTCCTAGAAATGCCATCTTGAAGTTTTAACTAAGCAGCTATTTAGATGACCGTATCTTTTTCTTTTACGTTGGTTTTTTGAGACAGAGTTTCTCTTTGCAGCCCTACCTGTCCTGAAACTCACTCTGTAGACCAGGCTGGCCTCGAACTCAGAGATCCTCCTGGGATTAAAGACCGGTGCTACCACCACCCAACTAGATGACCATATCTTATATTCAGTAAAATCTAGCATTTATCCTGCTCTTCTATGCAGCATCCTACCTCTACTTAAAAAAAAATAATTGAATTGTATTCATTAGAATATGTATGAAAATATATTCTTGTCTTGAATTTACATAGATCAACAATGACTCACTGTGCACTTGGGGTCTACATCTAGCGATTTGCATCCAGGAAGGCTAACGCAGAGCAGAGACAGTGCTGTTCCTTGTCTTCTGTCTGGTTGTCAGGCAACCGTCTGGGTGCCCCACCCCCTCCTTGGGAACTTTTCAATTGTTTATAGGCTTGCCCACTTTTCTTAAGGATTTGTTTACATGTTTCATTGTGTGTCTGTGCGTCAGTGTGGGTGTGTGGTTGTGAGGGCAGGTGCCCTTGGAGGTCCAAAGAGGTGTCAGATCCCCTGGAGCTGAAGTTATAGGGGGTTGTGAGCTGCCCAACATGGGTGCTGGGAACCAAACTCACGTCCTGTACAAGGATAGTATACACTCTGAAACCTCTGAGCCATCTCTCCAGACCCTAGACTCAATCCATCTCAAAGTCCCAAAGCTAGTAATGCAAAGCATAATATACGTGTTTGCCAGTTTTGCAATGTTTAAAGAGTGTCAAAGAGACACTGTGTGATTTCCTCAGCGGTTCCATCACTGCCCACACCATGGGTCATGATTTTTTGTGTTGATGCCAACACTTCACCACAGAAATTGTTTATCTACAATCTTCTCACTTGTTAAATTCAACTTCAAAATTTTTCCAAACCCAAGAGTTGAGAAGTGGCTTCTCCTTTCCACCCCTCCCACTGGATGAGAGACTGCGTGTCTTCGCACACACTTAAGGAACTTCTGTGCAGCACAATTAATAAAAACCCAGAGACAAATATTGGGGTTCAACCCGAAGATCAGAAAAGCAAAACAGCCAACCACTGGCTCTTATCTCTACCTTGGTCTGAAATGGCGATCCTGCCTCCAGGAATCCTCAGAATGAGACTGAGCCTGAAACCTGTCTCCTCCCATCTTGTATTCCTCTCTAGTGCTGGGTTTAAAGGCTTGCACCACTACTGCCTGGTTTCTATGGCAAACTAGTGTGGCTACTGGGAATAAAGGTGTGTGTCAGCACTGCCTGGTCTGTAAGGCTGACCAGGGTGGCTGTTTTACTCTCTGATCTTCAGGCAAGCTTTAATTATTAAGTACAAATGAAATATCCCTACACTTCTACATTTTGGGGGCACTTCCCCTTGGATCACTAGTATCTTTTCCTCTTATTTCCTACCCTCATGCACAAAAAGTTCTCTGTTAACATGTGAGGAGTATCTGAACCTCCTGTGTGCAAACCTAAGACTACATCCCTGTCTCGTGTCCTTGCACCTCTGAGGAAGTACTTCAAAAAATACTTCCACCCAGGCACGGGTTCTCTTTTGTCTTCTGTTCCTCTGTTATATGAACTGAACAGATCCCAACCATAAGAGGAACAGAGACGTCCTTCATCTCGTGAGTGTGCTCAGTAGAGCACACAAAGCCAAGGCAAGCCATGGGTACATGAATTTAAAAAAAAAATCATTTCTTTCAGGTGTGGTAGTATACACCTTTAATCCTACCACTCAAGAGGCAGAGACAGAGACAGAGACAGAGACAGGGAGATTTCTGTGTGAGTTCAAGGCCAGAATGGTCTACAGAGAGTTCTAGGATAGTCATGGTTACATAGTGAAACCCTTTAAAAAAAAAAAAAAACTCATTACTGAAAACTTTGTGCCCAGAAAGTTTGTGCCGGCATATTTTTGGTAAGACTCATGCTGGCTATGACATGGCTGCCACACAGCATAACATTACAGAGTCCTCTGCTTTCCCAACAAGGGTCACAAAGTCTAGAAGTTCTCACAGCCTGGCCAGGGTGCTTCAGGAACACCCTAAGCCGTCTTTCCAGTTTCCCCATCTTTACAGCCTCGCTCAGAGTCCTCACGCTCCTCTAAGAAAACTTTCTTCTTCAGTAGAATTTTAGCGTCATCAGTCACTATGTCAAGGAAATAATTTTGCAGGTAGTAGCTCTTTCTGAAGTAAAGGCCGGTGGCTATGAGTCCACCGGTGACGGCAAACACTTTCTCCAGGTATTTCACCAGCTTGTCCCCCACAGACTCACCCGTCTCACAGGACAGCAAATGAGGTGACCTAATGGTGGACTCAAGCTCCTCCACAGGCAGGGACAAATCCCTGGCCATGTTTTCCAGTGACTTGTCATCCAGCCCAAAGCAAGACCTGTAGTGGTCCAGGGTCTTCTCCAGCTCCTCAATGTCATCCTTGAAGAAAGCCATCAGAGGGATGGTGGCCGATGCTCCAGACTTCAGAGCCTCCAGCCAGATCTTCTGTTTCAGGACGTCTTTCCTGCGGTCAATAGCTGCCTCGGTTACGTTAGGAAGGCACTGCATGAAGATGTGGCGCTTGTGCGCCGGCAGCTTCTTCAAAAGGGTGGACTCCAGGAGAGGAAAATCAAAACGGGCTACCTCAACACTAGAGACTAAAAAGACCTGCGGGGAGGCCATGCCGGCATTCTGGAGATTCTCCTCACAGTTTTTCCGGATAGTCTCCAGGGTTTTTTCCCTATTGTAGGTTTTGGGTGTACATCTTTCCTGATTCCACAAATCACTATCAATTTTTGTCCGAACGAAATAGAAATTCTTTTTCATTTTTTTAATGGCCTTGGCCAACTGGGCATCGTTCTCTTTAAAGCGAGTGGCTGAGATGATGAGAAAAAAGTCATACTCCTGGAACTTCATTTTTTTCAGATATTCTTCTGGTTTAAAGGTAGCTGAGCCGACCCCAGGGAGATCCCAGATGGTCACGTTAGGGAACTTCGAGTGGGTATACTTCTCTCTAGCCATTGTCGTCTCTACCACCCCGCTCCGAGCTGAGTCAGCCTCTTCATGTCCTATGCCCCGCAGGGCGTTGATGAAAGTAGACTTTCCTGCCCCGGTCTCCCCCGTCACGGCAATGCTAAGAGGGGCCTTCTCGACCTCTGCCAAAGCAGCATTGATTGTAGAAATGGTCTTCTGTATGTCCCCTTGCTCCATAAACCTCTGCACTGAGCTGATGGTCTCCTCAGAAATGACTTTGCTTTCTATCTTGAAAGTTTTGAAAAATGCATTAAAGCTGGAGGCCATATTCTGGGCATTTACATCAGATGTGGAAGAAGTCTGACCCATGGCAGCGGAAGGACACTGGAGGGAAGGCCGAAGTGGGAAAGAAGGTCAAAGGTTAGTATAGCAGGGCAGGGCGCAACTCTGCCTTAGGGCAGAAGCTGCTCTGGGAACTCACACGAGGACTGGGAGCCTTGCCCTGCTCTCTTCATCCATGTTTCCAGGACTTGCCTGCTTTGCTTCCCCAAGAAATTGTTTGTTAATTTCAAGATCTGCTTTGTCAATCCAAACTTTTAAACCTATGTTATTCTCCATCTTGTTTTATTTTGATTATTTTGGGGGAAAAAAAAGTTTGGACACATCTCCATCTAATAAGCGGGAAGAGAAGTGGCACCGTGCGGCAGCCCACTCATGGGGTGACAGTGCCTGGCTTGGAGGTGTCCTGCAAAGTGAGAGTGTAACAGAGGCACAGTATTTGCCTAGCTCGCACCTGGCCCTGGGTTCGACCCTTTCTACCACATACACACGAAAATCAAGGCTTACCATAGAGTTAGAAGATATGAGGCTGCTAAAAGAGCAAAGAGACAGAACAATGTGAGAGAGAGCCCAGGTGGAAAGATGCACATGCCCACATGAAGACAAACACATATGCATAAATTAAAATAAATCCTAGCAGTAAACCCCACTACTGCTCTATAAAAGACAAATATTACCAGGAGACTGGCAAGATGATCACAAAGTGGGAGAAAACACTTGCAAAGTCACATTCAATAAAAGACTGTGACCCTGCCAGGCGGTGGTGGCACCTACCTTTAATCTCAGCATTTGAGATTAAAGCCTGGTCTACATGGTGAGTTCCAAGACATCCAAGGCTACATAGAGATACCCTGTCTCAAAATACTACAAGTAAAATACAAAAAGAAAAAAAAAAAAGAAAGTGGAACACTCACTTCTGAAGACAGCATGGCAGTTCCTTTAGCACTAAACACAGTCGACATATGTACTCCTATACATTTTCATGTTTGTTCCCACAAAAACATACATGTGGATGTTTCTGGATGGTTTATTCATAATTACAAACCTGGGAAATAGCCAGGACACCCTTTGGTAGGTGAATGAGCTAGGAAGATGTGGAATCCCCAAGATGACCACGTACTATTCAGAAGTCCAAGAGCGGAACTGTCAAGCCATGAAAAGACTATGGGGAGAAAAGTCACCTACAAAGGCTACGTGACTCTGCAGCACATCACACATGCTGAGTGACCTTCCAGATACGGCAAAGTTACGGGAAATCAAATCTGTGGTTGGCCCTTGTGGAAGCCTGAGTGAAAAGGCAACACAAAGGATCATGGGCAGTAAAAATACTCAGTGGGACATCGTAAGTGGGTGTGTGCTGAGATGCATCTAGATGAAGACGACCTGGAGGGAACTGTCACATAGTCTCTGGGCCACGACCTGACAGCGACAGTTCACTATTCTGGTGGGGATGCTGGTGATGGACAAGTCCATGCAGATGTGAGGATTGCAGTCTGTGGGGAGACCATGCATGTGCAGGGGGACTGCAGTCTATGGGGAGACCATGCATGTGCAGGGGGACTGCAGTCTATGGGGAGACCATGCATGTGCAGGGGGACTGCAGTCTATGGGGAGACCATGCATGTGTACGAACTGCAGTCTATGGGGAGACCATGCATGTGTACGAACTGCGGTCTATGGGGAGACCATGCATTTGTGTGGGGACTGCAGTCTGTAAGAAGTCACTACCTTTCTCTTGATTTCTCTGTAGAACTAAAACTTCTCTAAAAAGTAAAATATTAACTTTTTTAAAAAGAAGAAATCCCTCTGGGATATCTAATGAGATTCCCTTAAATTAGATTTTATTTATCTTGTGTGTATATAGGGGTGGATAGGGGTGGAGTGCACAAGCAGAGGTAAAACAGCTTGTGAGAGCTGGCTCTCTCCTTCCACCATGCAGCGCCTAAGACTAAATTCAAGTCATCAGGCTTGGTGTCCAGTGCCTTGACCTTCTGAGGCATCTCGTGGCTCAATGGGATTTTCACCTGCACTGAGCCCCCCCCCCCTTACCCTGATCCAGTGTGTGTAGAAAGAGTCCAAACACATCCCAGGAAGCCAGGCACCTGGGGGACTGACTCCTGAAGAATGTCTCACAGGTAGAAGAGACAGTGTGAGTGATTCATGAGTAGGGGTTGAGGAGGACATTGTCGGTCTCACCAAGAAGAACCCTCTGTCCCTTTGGATCTGCCAAGACCTCTCAGGTCACAGAAGATTTATGACACAGGACACAAGAAAAAAATCACAAGTCTAGGACTAAACATAGTGAAATGGGATACAAACCCTCTATGCGGAACCTCATAGAGAAGGGGAGAAATTGCTACCTCAGGAAACCAAGCCAGCGCCAGGATAGGTGTTGGGGCATAGGGCAGGCTGAAGAAAATTCTCTGGCTACAGTGTGGGAGGACTTCTATTGGGGCCTCACTGGCAGTTGCTTGTTAGAGGCCTGGGTCTCCTCTTTGTTTCTACCACTTAGGGCAGTGTCAACTCCAGACCTAGGCTGGTGGAAATTGCAGCGTCTAGTGAATGTGCTAATCAGATCTGGAGCCATTAGCACCCCCCTGACTGTTTACATAGGTTCTCTAGTTACTTGATATCTTATGCATGCTGGGAAAAAAAAAAGCGGCACACTGATTTAAAAAACAATCCATGTGCCAGGGCGGTGGTGGCACATGCCTTTAATCCCAGCACTCGGGAGGCAGAGGCAGGTGGATTTCTGTGAGTTCAAGGCCAGCCTGGTCCCCAAGAGCTAGTTCCAGGACAGGCTCCAAAAGCTACAGAGAAACCCTATCTTAAAAAAACAAAGAGAGAGAGAAACCATTCCGTGCCCCATTCATAATTTTACTGAAAATAAACTTTTAGCTCTTTACTAATCACCTAAAAATCTAGCGTAGCACACTAGCCTTCCTCTCTAGGATTCCCTGGTGATTTAATTCCTTTCTTAACTAACTTTCTCCATTAAGGAGTTCACCTGATGAGTACTAGCCACTCCCACCTTTGAGCTGACAGCCAGGGATCGCTCTCTCTCTCTCTCTCTCTCTCTCTCTCTCTCTCTCTCTGTGTGTGTGTGTGTGTGTGTGTGTGTGTGTGTGTGTGTGTGTGTGAAAACTCATATCTGATTTTTATGGGGCAAAAGAACTCCATCCCTGGAACCTGATAGGGCTGGGGAATTGCTGGTTATAAGGGCATATATGACTGGAAATGTTTGTATTGGAGGGAGAAAAAGAAGGAATAAGGAGAAGAATAAAGAGACATGGATAGAATAGACATTGTGAGTAGATTTCTTAACCCTCAGATTCAAGCCCCCTTCGCCTTTTGTGGTGTCTTTAATTGAACCCTGAGAGGGATTCCTTAGAAGCTGGACTTTTAAGGACCAGGTTAAGACGGGGACTTCTCAAGCATCCAACATGTGTATAGAGTAGCAACTATCCCACCCTGCAGCAACTCTGAGAAAATATACTAAGTGTGAGAATGAGCAAGTCTGAGGATAAGAAGAGTGAACTCCCAGAACCTTGTCTTCTAACTGTTGGGAGCGCATCTATCCACTGAGAAGCAGGAGCAAAAACGAGAGGGAAAGTAGTGTCCTATGTTGGGGGAGGGGAGCGCGCTTCTGCACACACTCTTCCTCTCTGTCCTAACACCCCTGTAAACACAATGTAATGACTTCTACCTTAAAAGTAAGCACTTTTTTTTTTGTAGGGGTCTAAGAATTGAACTCATGGCCTTGTGCATGCTAGGCAAGCACCCAGCTCCCTCCACCTTAAGATTAAGAATAAAAGAAACTGAGAAATTGGGAGACATGAAGGAGGGAGTCCTACTGTCTTCTAAGATCAGAGCTGGGGTTCAAGGTTGACATTCTGAGGACAGAGTTCTTCGCAGAGGTCAAGCCCACATCTTGGTATAGAAATCGAAGTTCAGGAAGACACATGAACTCTTGAGTTTGTGGTTAGAGAATGCTCCTTGTCCTCCAAGTCAACGGTGTTTAGATATTTCATAGGGGATTAGGAGACATCTAGTGACAGATGTTTCCAGTATACAGTCCCTAGCCTTTGACACCCCTGGCTTTTCTATAGCCTGGCTATGAATGCCTTCTGAAAATATTACAGATATTAAGTTCTCTGAATGGCTTTCAGCTGTCTTCCTCCACCCATCCTGCCCCTCAGCCTAAGTCCTTGGCACCCCCAACCACATGAGGCATGCAGGCTGTTCCACCCTCGGGCCAAAAGCCTATAATCCTATTTGTAGACCTGTGTTAATTAAAAACATCTACCTTCTTACTCACCAGCTCCCTTGAGAAAAAGAGATTTCTGGTAGCAGAGTTGACCTCCTAACCTTCCCGCAAGAAGAGCTGAGAACAGATCCAGTGAAGAGCTCCCACGGCGTCAGACACAGCAAGAGCACACAGACCTGTACAGATCTGACTTGACTTGGGAATCCAGGTGAGCTGCGCTTGTGTGACTCCTGCAGAAGAGGCCAGGCTGTGTTTGAAGAGCTCTGAAGTTTATCCCTAGCTGCTGCCCTGCCCTCACAGGAGTCTGGCCAACAGCGGAGAGGGAGTCATACCAACAGTGCAGAGTAGGAACTTCCAGAAACATGAAAATGAAAGTAAACGTCTCATGTAACAGTTCCTAGGCATAGAAACTGAAAGCCACTGGGGCCATAGAGTTGGGTCGCTCTGCTTTTGTTACAATAATAAGGCGCAGGAAATCTGGGCAGGAGGATGCAGTGTCCGAGGAGGGGTCATTTCATCTAGCCCCCGAGGCTGTATTTATGCCATCCAAGAGCTGAACCAGATCTCAGAGCCCACAAACCCACTCATGACCTTGCTCCACCACCTACACAACTAGTCTCTGTGGCGATAAGAAACCAATGTGCTTTCTTTACACCCCTGTCCTGGGTGCAGACTTTTCAAAACTCTCTGCGTCTCCTCATTAACTCATTTTGGACTCTCAGCGAATCTCCAGGTCCCACATAGGAATAAATAAGTAAATACATACATACATACATACATACATACTTGCTCGCTCAGGCTTGGCAATTTGCTAGACTAGCTCTCAGGAGCCCAGAGCGTACTAGATTCACAACATCAGTTTCGTTGTAAAAAGAATACATAGGGCAGGTCTAGGAGGGAGCACAGAGCATGCCTCCCTCCTCCCTGGAATCAGGATACACTCTCCTCCAAGCATATTGGTGCATGAATCACCCACGAGGCTCCACTGAGCTTTATAACCTAGGGATTATGCTGTCTGCCTCTAGGTCCCTTCCCCTACACAGGTGACTCTCACTGCGAGAGGACCTGTCAGGGTGACTAGAAGCATCCCCGGCATCTGAGTCCCTGTGAATGGGAGAGGGGAATCGCCCCCAATTGAGTTCCATTCATCCAGAAAAAGAGAAGTTGCCAATGCTGAAATGAAAACAGTATCACCACAGATATAAGCATTAAACAGCATCGTGATTCCCTATTGATGCTGTAACAAGCTAGGCAGTGCAAATGCATTATGGTGCTGCAGTTAAGAAATTCAACCAGAATTCCTCTAGGCTAAATTCAAGACATCTGCAGGACTGTAGCCCAGTGTGGGGAGAGTGCTCGCCTGGCACCCATGAAGCCATTGGTTCCGTCCTTGGCATTGCATAAGCTGGGCTCGGTGGCATGCACCTGCACTTAGGAGGTTGAGGCAGGAAGATCAGAAATTCAAGGTCAAGTAGTTTCAAGTTTGCTTGCGTTAGTTGAGACTGTCTCAAGAAAAACAGGAAGTGGGGAAAGGGAGGAAGGAAGAAAAAAGACAGCTAGCTAGACATCAGCAAAGCTGAAGGAGAATGTTTGTCTTGCTAGTTCTAGAAGCTTCTCAGATTCCTTGGCCCTCTTCAAAGCTAGCCAAGCTGCATTTCTCTGACCCCTCTTCAGTGACCACGCCTCACTCTACTTTTCCCTTCTGCCTCCCTCTTCTAGTTTTAAAACTTCTGTGATCGCTGAAAAAAAAAAAAAAAAAAAAAACCAGACCAACTCACCGAACAACACACACCGTGCACTTACCTTCACCGGCAGGTTTGTAACCTGGCACTTTCAGTGTTCTGGGGATGACTATATAGGTATCTTTGGGGCTAGGGCACGTTGCATTATTCTGACTATTGCAAACACAGACGGAAACAGTGCACATAGACGCATCCTGGCAAACTTGGAGACAAGATGGACAAACCCTTCATCAGAAATAATTTTGAAATTATAAAAACCCTTTTTGCCAAGGAAGCTGCAGACTTGGCACAAAGCCAGGTGGTTTTCCTGCGTGCTGCCAGGACCAGGCAGTCAGCCCACTCAGGCTTTTCCTGAGAGTCCCAGCACAACAGGGCCGAGTTTCTGGTTCTAGCTTTTGGCAATTCTTTCTTTAAACATCTTAACCTAGGAAGTGGGAGGGGCTTCCTGTCTTTCTACTTTGTGAGGGTCTTCCCATCCTGTTTTGCTTCCTTATTTATTTCATCTCCAGCACAGCAATCCCGTGTGAAATTCCTGAGAACCCCCTGCTGGTCCAGAGAAGGCATTTAACAACAGTCAAGGGGAATAAAGAGTTTTTGAGCAAAGACTAAGGAGGGACCCACAGCTCTGAGCACTGTAGCACAGCACCCCACAGTGCTCAGCATCTAGCTGCCTGGTACTGTGCAGCCCCATGGCCCTGCACTTCACCATGGAGTACCACTGAGAATTTTTAGAAAGAATTTGACTTTTTTCATTCTGTTGACACATACCAGTTGTACATTTTCCTGTTAATTGCATTAGCATACTTTAATTATATAAGTGGTTTCAAGACATTGTCTGCATGCGTGTGATATACTTGGGAGCATGTGTAGCCTTACGCATGCAAAACCCTTTGTCTTCATTTTCACAGAGTTCAATCTTCGCACTTACAGACTGGATGTGTGCTGATCTTCCCGATTCCTGGTGATTACTTTCAGTTCCTCCTCAGTTTCCACACCTGAGCAAGCTCAGTCTCTCATTACTAGACCCAGGGCCTTCGGCTTTCACACATTTTGCTGTAAACAGGATATCTTTGGCTTCCTGTGTGAAAAGCTGTGTCTCCTCTTGACTGCAGGTATGAACAGTATGTCTCAGTCATGTGCAGACACCCCTTCTGTGTATCCCCAGCAGTGACAGGGCTGGACCCGAGGGCAGTCCTAATGACACTGGTTCTCATCTACATGTGGGCTACTGGTATTTCCTTTTTCACAAAGGAATATTCAGATCATTTGCCTACTTTAAACACTGTATTTTTTTTTTTAAGACAGGGTCTCACTGGTGGCCTTGGCTAGCCTAGAATTAAATATGTAGACCACACTGATCTCAAATTCACAGAGATCTATCTGCCTCTGCTTCATGAGTGCTGGGATTAAAGACATTTGACACCTCAATGGACTAAATTTGGATTCCTTTCTGTTCTCTGTGGATGTGGAGCCTGCCCTCTTCTCGTTGAGGATTCTGCTCACCTGGTGACTCTCTGCTATTTGGAACCTGTTAGTCTGACAGAAGCCACGTGTAGACTTTTTTTTTTTTCTCAGCATTGCCTTACCAGTGTCCACGTGTGGACTCCTGTTTTTCGGCATCACCTTACCAGCATCTTGAACTTTATTTTTCTCTTACTCCAGTTTCTAGCTGCACTTGGGTCTTTGATCCATTTGAGTTGCTCTTTGCCCAGGTTGAGAGATGGACATTTTATTCTTCTGCATGTACACACGCTGCTTCCCTACCACCACACCTTACCTGTCATTTCTGCTTATTTCTGGCACCTCACCTTTGTTGAGAATATATGGGGAGGTTTAAACCATAGCACCGCAGTTAAGAGCATTAGCTGCTCTTGAGGAGGACCCAGGTTCAATTCCCAGCACCCACCTGGAGGCTCACAACTATCTGTAATTCCATCCAAAGCCCTCTTCTGAACTCTGCAGGTACCGCACACACATGGTATAGATAATACACACTGGAAATGCATCTGTATACATAATCTCAAAACAATTCTTTAAAGAGAATATGTTGGCTATAAAAGGTAGTTTAAAACTGAGAAATTCATGAAGTACAGTATTTTCTTAAGGATGCATTCATTTTAAGTATGTGTTTGTGCATGAGTGTAAGTAACCTCAAAGGCTTTTTTGTTTTGTTTTGTTTTTTCGAGACAGGGTTTCTCTGTGGTTTTGGAGCCTGTCCTGGAACTAGCTCTTGTAGACCAGGCTGGTCTCGAACTCACAGAGATCCGCCTGCCTCTGCCTCCCAAGTGCTGGGATTAAAGGCGTGCACCACCACCGCCCGGCAACCTCAAAGGCTTGAAGAGGGTGCTGATACCCCTACAGCTGGAGTTGCAAGCAGTTGTGAGCCACCATGTGAATGCTGGAAAGCAAACTCAGGTTCTCTCCAGGAGCAGCAAGCACTCTTGACAACTGCTCATAATGTACGGTTTGACAATTCTAACAAGTACCTGAGTGGTAAAGCATTGGCCTGCCATGGCTATAAGCCAGTGCTGCAGATGAGTGAGTTTATCCTGGGGTATCTGTCTTGCCTATTGCTCTGTTTATCTGAGGTTTTTTTATATTAATATCATGCTGCTTTCGTTACTGTGGCTATCTGTACCATGTTGTCTAGCCTGGCCCCAAACTTAGTATGTAAAGGGACTTTGTAATTTACCAAGATCTTTGCTAATAGTTACACTGAAGAGAAGCTAAAGAAGTTTTAAAAAATAAGTAAATAAAGAAATAGCTCGGAATTGAGGATTTTGGTTCAACTGTTTCTACTGTAAGGAATAATGTACAGATGAAGCAATCATATCAAAATACTAATGTCACTCTTCACAGGGGTGGGGGGGGACAGAGAAAGAGGGAGGAAAAGAAGGGGAAGGGGAAAGGGATCTGTGAGGGCCAGGCACTACTACTTTGATATTAATTTCTGCTATGAGAGCGCCACCTACTGTCTGGTTTTAGATTGCAATGCTAAGGTTTGTTCAAATCCTCTTTACCTTGAAAAATAAAACAAAAACATTATCCTCTGGCCTCTGGACATGCACACCCGGATATGCACATCCACACACATGTATATAAACTCTCACACACTCACAAAAAAAAAATCTTGAAGTTACATACTGCACTTCAAAAATTCAATGACAAAGCATAAAAACCACTTGTTTTTACTGTTTAAAATACACATAAGCTTTATACACTGTGGAGCCAGAATGACCGTCACAGAGTGTGGATGATAGTCCGGCTTCGAAGTTGCTGAATATACTCTTTGGCATGGTCAACTGCTGTCTTGGGTGCTTTGGGTAGGGGTGGGGGTCCTTCCACCAGCTTCACAAAATAGTGGCAATAGACCTTCTCCATGATACCAAAGCGACCTCGGCCATGGTAACGGAGGCGCTTCAGGCATTGGCCTCTTCCTGAGGTAGACTCAGCTATAGAGAAAAGAAAGAGAGAATTATGGACATGTCTGCTATCCATAGGACCGCATCTACACAGCTGAGCAAGTCCTGACCCATCTCTCACTAGATCCTAAGAAGCAGGAGCTTGCCGGTTGGCTAGAACACGCTCGTCTCAACCACGAGTCTCCTGAGCACTAAGTAGGAGTGAAGGTGAAGCATGGACCCTGCCGCCACACAGTTTATGTTGGAGGAAGACAGAAAATATGGTAACACCTTCAATTAATGCAAGTTTCGTGAATTAAGCAAATCTGACTAACGTGGCATAGACTGATGGGATGGTAGAGGTGT